GGGGGATTTTATGAGTAGACTTGTCCCGATTCCGACACACATGATCGGAAATCGGGGATTGATCACTGATCGGTATCAAGCGAAAAGATCGGATTTGAGTTAAGAATAAAATATTTTAGTTCATTACTGCTGATTTATAACCATAAACAAAAAAAACATCATCTTAGGTTACTTTTATCCCTCCCCAAAAAAAAATTAAGATAATTGAGACAATTTTGATGCGGTTGTTAATTTCTTAGTCATTGCATTGCAGAGGTATTGAATCATGACTACATATTGGCGGGTACTTCAATCAAGTGGCTCGCACTCAGACTGCGGTGCAAAAAAAAAAAAAATGTGGTCGGAACATCGCTCTTTAATAGTCACCTATCTGCTTTGGAGAACAAAAGGAAAAGCCCTTTTTGGCACTTGTGACACTTGCGTTCATGTAGCTGAACTTGAATGTGACACCACGAGGAAGCCTCCACAAATCGCTGCCAACGGATTTATTCATCTTCTATCCACTTTGGAGAGGAAATCAATGCGGCATTTACGGACGTTTGATTGCGCTCGTGACGCCTGAGATACTTCAAGTTTGTGCGAACGTACTTGAATTTACCCGCTAGCGCACTCTCCAAACCGCCACAGGTTGATCTACTCGTCCGCTATTTACGTCAAAGATCAAATAAACGTGCCATTTACGACTTGCTGATGAGTCGATCATTTTGAATCAGCTGTGTTCGAGGAGGGGAAACAGAGAAAGCGCGCGAAATAGAGGTCCTCGAGGACCGGAGCTTGACACCTGTGCTCGGAGAACAAATGAATCTGGCATTTGTGGCCCGTGTTTGCACTTGAGAAGCACTTGAGGCCGAACCGCGGTAGAAAGATGCGACTGACAAGCATTTTGATGGTCATCCGTCGGACTCCAAAGCCCTGCTCGCAGCTTCTCGGACGCTGAGGTTGCTCTCGAGGCAAACGGAGGCGTGGCATTCCGGCGAAAATAAGAGGCCCGCTTGCGCTCCAGACGTTTTTTTTTTTTAAATATAAACTTTTTACCGCAGATTCGAGAGATGGAAGAAGGAAAACGGGTTAACGTAAACACACGTGGATTTAAGAGCCGGATGGGGCCTGCATTTAACAAGATGACAAAAGTTGGCGTTTCGGAGGTACGGTGCTATCTTTGTGTGCTGCTGCCACAACTGCGGCGGCGGCAGCTATAGAAATGCACGGGAGAAAGAGCAAGCGAGCGCAGGAGGGAGGGAGGGAGTGAATCAGAGAGAGGGGAGTGCAACGGCGGGAGGGAAGGTTGGGAGTGCGGCTGAAAAAAAAAAAAAGGGGGGGTTACACTAAAAGGGGGGTTGGGGTTACTCGCGCACAGCTGCCAAACGAATGCCTTTGTGCAAGCCTGTCGACATAAAACTAAAAATATGTCAAGATGTTAAAACAATAGTGTCAATAAAGTTCATTTTAAGAAGAAAGAAAAAAATCCAAGCTCGACGTGACTGCAGCTGAACCGCCCACCCCACCACCGCCGCCGCCACCGCCGCCATTTTGCTCAACACTCCCTTCGCACCAGTTAAAAATCTGATAGGAAACACATCCACATTTTTATTTTTAAATGTTTCAGATGGTGACAGCTCAGCCTGCCAACATCCTCCGATTTAGACAATTAAGACCCGCTACCAGAGATGATGGAGAGGGGAAGAGGGGGGTAAAAAAACAAACACACATCCTCTCAGTAAATATTTACGGCTAAAATCTTTCCCATTCATTCGCCAGGCACTGACAAAACCTTACTGTACTGCCTCTCCAAAGTCCCCCCACACCCCCCCCCTCCCTCCCGCGCTTCTACATCTGCGATTCATTGACTTCACAATTTACCACATGTCGAGCCGGGGAGAGGTCGAGCCTCCACGTGAATCACGGCGCAAATATGCGAGTGATTTATTGTTCTGTTAAAAAAAAAAAAATAATATCAGTGAAGAAAAAAATAAATAAATAAATAAAAGAAAAACCTCTCACTCTCTCTGCTCGCAGAGCGTGAACAATTACATTTCGGACTAATTAAGCCGAGAGAATGCGAGGCCGATAATGTATCGCAGGCCCCGTGTTTTAGTGTGCCAAACTTCCTACCCCTCCTCCTCCTCCACCCCCCCTGCAGTCGCTTAAAGTTAACTCGGCAAATCCAAAGCAGATTTTACGAGTCGTGGAGGAAAAAAAAAAATTCTGGAAGCTTCCACTGCCGCACTTTTTTTTCCCTCTCAACAAAAATGATTTGCAAGACAAAAGGGCCCAGCAACGTTGCGCGGTTTTGACAACCAGCAGCCCCCAGCCCAACACTCTGCTCCCCTGCAGACACCAATTAGACCCCATTAGCATGTAAAGCCAATTTGATAAGGTGTAGCCCCCTCCCATGTTCCACCCCCCAAAACACACACACACACACACACACACACACACACAATCCTTTAAATCCTCATCTTTGGCCCAAAAAGGAAAAAAAAAAAAAATCCATTTACAGGAGGACGAACACACGTAATCCATACGATGACGCATTGTTGTGCTGACAATGCCGCCATGTTGAGCCGAGATACCGTCGCTCAGTGCGCCAATTAGAACGGATACAAAAGGATGCCGTCGTTGCACGTTTCTCGGGACAATAAAAGCCACATGCATTATTGAAATGAAGAAAAGAAAAAGAAGCGGGGTGTGTTGAAAAAAATAAAATAAAAAAACGAAAAAAGAACTATTGTTTCAGTGTGTGTGGGTTGGTAATATTACATCCGGATGAATACAATCCCTTGGCCAAAACTCTAAATAATGAGGCCAAGGGGTGGGCCAACGTGGAAGGATGGAGGGCATTTACCTGTTGCGGTGGGATGCGAGCCCACACTGAACCGGTGTTAAAAAAAAGAAAAAAAAAAAAGAAAAAAGGAGAGGCCAAGCGCAGCCCAGCAAGTCTTTGTGCCGGCTTTAAGGAAAAGTCCGAGCTGAGCGGACATCTGCCGACTGAACAGCGAGTGGGGGGTGCTTTTTAAAGCCTGGACACGTGTCAAAATTATACTCAATTGGCGGCCTCTTTTAGAAGTCGGCGGCGCTTGGCGAAACGAATTCCCGCCAGAGGTCACATAAATGATGTTAACCCTCCTTGCCGTTCTGTTTATAAAAACAAAAAAAAAAAACATTGCCTCCAAATCCAAATCAAAGCCTCATTTTTTTTTCTCTCCGTCATCATCGCGAGTTGCCGCGTAACAGACAGCTAATCAATGTCCAGGTGAATTATTAATGGCGGCTTTAAGTCGAATACATTGATATTAGAGCCACCGACCACTTCAAAGACGCTAATGGCTTAGACACAGCAGGAGGGGATGTTGGGGTGGGGTGGGGGGGTTATTTACAGACCATCCGCAGGCTCAAGGAAGTCCAACTGCGGACATTTTGAGGGTTTTTAGGGCCCCACCTTGATGAAATGTAAGAAAATATTATCGCCTTACAAATAGCAAAGCTTCCCCACCACAAATGACTCGCAATGAGTCCGTCCACACAAAACACAGAAAGAAAAAAATAAAGCAAGAACTAGCAATTAGGTGTTTGTTTTTTTTTAAACGTAATTAAGGCCTTCTTTTTGGAGTTCAAGGGATGTGTGTTATCCGGGAATCGAAGCTACTTTTTAGTTGAAGTGAGGAAAGTCTTAAATCTGAAAATTCAAATGTTGAACGAGGCATTTAAATCAGGGAAAATCTGGATCAAGAAATTGAAGACGATGCTCTTTTTTTTTTTTTTTTTTGTGGATCACAATTATAAAAGGATGACGCCAAGGTGGAATCGAAAGAGCAAAGTGCAACGCGTCGTCACACGACTCCTTGTACGAGGAAGTGCTTTACACTGGTGTGTGTGTGTGTGTGTGTGTGTCAGTTTTAATTAGACTAAATGATGGACGGCAAAAGACCTTAATAAAAAAGGGAGAAGGGTATCGTCCTGTTTACCTTTTCAATGACAAAATCCAGGAATAGACGGCTCAAAAATTTACAGCGGCGCGCAATATTTTCACCCTCATCCTACGTATTCATTTTTCAGGGTGTGCACAATAGAGAATGCAGGAGACAAATATGAGGCGTTGAGCTTGGACTGAAAAAGGGGGTGAGGGGTGTATTGCGGCTTGGAGGGTTCCAATTTCCTACATGCCTCGCTTACGCCTTAACCTTGTAAAATGAGATGACAGGCCCTAAAGTGCTTGACTAGTAATTGCAAACATTTAAAATAATATAAGGGGAGTATGTAAAAAAGGAGGAAATTGGGGGTGGCTGGTGGGGGGTTAACGGCGCTTAAGGCTCGCCTTTGCCCCAGTGGGAATCTGCGAGTTGTATAATTACAACCCCAGCTAAATAAATAACCTGAATTTATTGATGAACTTGGAATTTCAATTTCGATTTCATGACTAGGTGCACTCCACCCCTGAAAATAACATGGCAATAATCCTGCAAATGAAAACAATCCGAATGTGTGGACGTTCTTCCTGCTTTTTTTTTTTTTTTGACACATGCAAATAGCAGCACACTTGCACCTCATTTGCATATTTCATTGGGGGCAGCTTTCACATTGTTGAGAAGGGAAAAAAGGGCATTTTTGATGAGGGCTGAGCAAACACCACGTAAATGCATTATTCATGACTTAAAGAAATCCCAATCAAGCAATATTATTTTTTTATAATAACAATAATAATAATAATTGTTGTTGTGATAGAAAATTGAACTATACACGCACGCACACGGGCACGTACACATACACACAAACTTGGCCTGCCACATAAAGCCCCTTTTTCATTAGCCACTTAGCATGCTAGCAGCGACGACAGCCAGGACTCGGGAGCCGCTCCAACTGTACACTTCACGGACAGAGGCAAAAAGTCGACTATTGCTACACTGTCCACTTTTGCCCCCCCTTCGCGAGACGCCGGTGACAGGGTTTGCGCGTGTCGTGTCGCGTCGTTGCAGGAAAGACAACAAAAAGGGTGGACTTACTGTGCGCGCTGTGGGAGAAAGTGATCCGTTGGGGAGGTAGGGGCTGGTGAGATCGGGGATCATAATAAACGGGTAGCCCGGGTACGGTGGGCTCTTGAACAGCCCTCCATCTTGCCTCTTCGCTGCTAACATGGCGGGACCGGAGTTGTGGTTGTGGCGGAAAGAACACAGAAAAGAAAGGGCCAAAAGTTGTTTTGTTTTGTTTTTTAACAATAAATGAAAAAGACACAAACGGGGCGGGTGTGTGTGTGTGGAGTTTCAAATGGAAGCCAGACTCACCCTCCTCTAAACTTTCTCGCGTTTTGTCTCTGAAAGTTTCAGACCGAGGCGGAGGCCGTCTCTCCGCCTTGAGAGACGTTGGAGTGGGGAGACAAAAAAGAAAGAAAGAAAAAAAAAACTATGAAACACGGGCATTGCGTGAGCGGGACACCCAGGCCGAACTTTGCCTACGAGTTGGCCGCCTGACGAGCCGCCGCCGCCGGCCACTCGGCTCGGAGTTGTCCGGGGGGTGGCGTTGTGGAGGGGCTGCGGAGCTCCCAACTTACCTCCGAGTCAGACGAGCTGTTCTGATTTGTTTCCGACTCGTTGACGAGCGACGACTTGACGTCCGCTAAATCCCTTTCGGCCGACGAGTTCTCCGAGGTTTTCTCCTCCTGCTCCCCTTCGTCTTTGAAGGAGATCATCTCATCGTTGGCGCCCAGGTCGTCCCCTCCACCGCCGTTCAGTTGCGGCATTTTCGCTCCGCTTTTTTCCCCCCACGAGCTTCACTGAAGGCGGCTAGCTTGCTGCTGCTGCTCTCGTTAGTGGTGGTGGGGGGTGGGGGGGAAGTCCTCCAAAAGGAGAAACTTTTTGTATATATTTTTTTAAAGGACCCCTCACCGTCGAAAAAAAGTGCCACTTTGCGCGACTTCGGGGGTGTCGTTGGTGGCGTTGCCCCCCTCCAGTAGAAAAAAAAACACACGCGCACGCACACACGCACACACAGCGTGTGGCGTTCGCGGTCCCCACTGAAAAAAAAGTCCCCAAAAGAAAAAGAAGGGGACCCTTGCCGGAAACGGGGAAGCCGGAGAAGGAGCCGCGGTGCTCGGATTGAGAGAGTTGAAGTTGGTCGGAGTGGTTTTCAGTTCAAAGGCGGCGCTGATTGACAGATAGAGAGGGATGGAAATAGAGAGAGTCTGGATTCGGGATTATTGACAGGGAGAAACACACAAGAAACTAATGAGATTCAAACAGGGAGGGACTTGAAGTGACGTTTTCATAAATCGAAAAAAAAAGAAAAGGAGGAGGAGGAGGAGAGAGGGAGGAAGGAAGCCGGCTCTGTCGGAGCATGCGAGGTAGGACAGTGAAGGCAACACTGCAGGAAAAAAGACACCAAGGAGTTGTTGCATGCATGAAAAAAAATTAAATAAAAGCACACATGGGCGGGCTGAAACGAGAACTAGCTTCACCATTCCCTCACATCTATTTACATTTTTAAATATTTCACCATCTTCCTCTCCTCAAAGGCCTTCTTGCGGAAAAAAAAAAGCACAAACCCTTGTTTGGTCTGCAGTGATCTATTTTTTCATCATGTTAGGTAATATTTCCTCACAATTTTTTTTTTTTTTTGCACTCGGCCTGCGTGACAGGTGAGATGTCCTGTGGGACTAACCAGAATTTCTCGAGGCTGCTCAAAATCTCTTTTTTTAAATTCCATTTTGGATTATCATCCTCAGCGGGCAGGGGAAAAATAGTTTGTAAATGAGATTGTGGAAAGAAAAAAGAGAATTGTTTCTATAATTATAATGTAGACATATATATATATATATA